TCGAAAGCTGGAGGAAGGGACTTTCTTCCCGGACCAGAAAATAACCGTTGGGGATGTTGAAATGCCTATCGTGATCCTTGGGGACCCAGCCTACCCCTTAATGCCATGGCTCATGAAGCCGTACACAGGCAGCCTGGACAGGAGTCAGGACCTGTTCAACTACAGGCTGAGCAAGTGCCGAATGGTGGTGGAATGTGCATTTGGGCGTTTAAAAGCGTGCTGGCGCAGCTTACTGACTCGCTCAGACCTTAGCGAAAAGAATATCCCCATTGTTATTGCTGCTTGCTGTGCGCTCCACAATGTCTGTGAGAGTAAGGGGGAGACATTTATGGCAGGGTGGGAGGTTGAGGCAAATCGCCTGGCCGCTGATTACGTGTAGCCAGACACCAGGGCGGTTAGAGGAGCACAGCAGGGCACGGTGCGCATCAGAGAAGCTTTGAAAACGAGTTTTGTGACTGGCCAGGCTACGGAGTGAAACTTCTGTTTGTTTCTCCTTGATGAACCCTCCGCCCCTACACCCCCCTACCCGGTTAACTCTACTTCCCTGTAAACCAACCACCCCACCCTCCCCTACTACCCTCCCCCCTTCGAGCACCACTTGCAGAGGCAATAAAGTCATTGTTACTTCACATTCATGCATTCTTTATTAATTCATCACACAACTAGGGGGATAATTGCAAAGGTAGCCCGGGATGGGTGGGGGAGGAGGGAAGGAAAAGGACACACTGCAGTTTAAAACTTTAAAACTTTAACACTTATTGCTCGGGAAATCATCTGGGCTGGAGTGACTGGGTGGCCGGAGGCCCCCCCACCGTGTTCTTGGGCGTCTGGGTGAGGAGGCAATGGGACTTGGGGAGGAGGGCTGTTGGTTACACAGGAGCTGTAGCGGCGGTCTGTGCTCCTGCTGCCTTTCCTGCAGCTCAACCATACGCTGGAGCATATCAGTTTGATGCTCCAGCAGCCGGAGCATGGACTCTTGCCTTCTGTGTGCAAGCTGACGCCACCTCTCATCTTCAGCCCGCAACTTGATCTGTTCCTCCCGCGCTTCAGCACGCAACCTCTCCTCCTCAGCCCGCGATTCAGCCCGCCACCTCTCCTCTCGTTCATATTGGGCTTTTCGATAATCAGTCATTGACTGCCTCCACGCATTCTGCTGTGCTCTGTCAGCGTGGGAGGCAGTCTGTAGTTCTGTAAACATTTCATCACACGTCCTTCGCTTCCGTTTTCGAATATTCACTAGCCTCTGTGAAGGAGAACGATTTGCAGCTGGTGGATGAGAAGGGAGAGGTGGTTAAAAAAGATACATTTTAGAGAACAATGGGTACACTCTTTCACGTTACATTTTGCTGTTCACATTACACAGCAGATGTGCTTTCGTTACAAGGTCGCATTTTTCCTCTTATATTGAGGGCTTGCCGGTTTGGTGTGAGAGCTCACTCACGCAGTGCCAGGCCACAGATTTCAGCTTGCAGGCAGCCATGGTAAGACACAGTCTTTTGGCTTTTTTAACCTTCTTAACATGTGGGGATGGTTTCAAAGAGTACTGCTCTCATTAACCATACCAAGCACCCGTTGAGTTGGCCATTTAAAATGGGTTTGCAATGTAAAAGGAGGGGCTGCGGTTTCAGGGTTAACGTGCAGCACAAACCCAACTAATAACCCTCCCCCACACACCCAATTCTCTGGGATGATCACTTCACCCCTCCCCCCACCGCGTGGCTAACAGCGGGGAATCTTTCTGTTCAGCAGAGCAGGAATGGGCACCTCTGAATGTCCCCTTAATAAAATTGCCCCATTTCAACCAGGTAACCGTGAATGATATCACTCTCCTGAGGATAACAAAGAGCGATAAGGAATGGATGTTGTCTGCATGCCAGCAAACACCGGGACCATACGCTGCCATGCTTTGTTATGCAATGATTCCAGACTACGTGCTACTGGCCTGGTGTGGTAAAGTGTCCTACCATGGCGGACGGGATAAGGCAGCCCTCCCCAGAAACCTTTTGCAAAGGCTTTGGGAGTACATGAAGGAGAGCTTTCTGGAGATGTCCCTGGAGGATTTCCGCTCCATCCCCATACACGTTAACAGACTTTTCCAGTAGCTGTACTGGCCGCGATTGCCAGGGCAAATTAATCATTAAACACGCTTGCTTTTAAACCATGTGTAATATTTACAAAGGTACACCCACCAGAGGTCCCCTGTGTGCCCACAGGGTCTTGGGTGAGTTCGGGGGTTACTGGTTCCAGGTCCAGGGTGGTAAACATATCCTGGCTGTTGGGGAAACTGGTTTCTCCGCTTCCTTGCTGCTGTGAGCTATTTACATTATCTTCATCCTCATCTTCCTCCTCCTCAAAACCCGCTTCCCTGTGTGTTTCTCCAGTGAGGGACTCATAGCACACGGTTGGGGTAGTGGTGGCTGCACCCCCTAGAATGGCATGCAGCTCCGCGTAGAAGCGGCATGTTTGCGGCTCAGCCCCGGACCTTCCGTTTGCCTTTCTGGCTTTGTGGTAGGCTTGCCTTAGCTCCTTAATTTTCACGCGGCACTGCTGTGCGTCCCTGTTATGGCCTCTGTCCTTCATGGCCCTGGAGACCTTTTCTAATATTTTGCCATTTCGTTTACTGCTTCGGAGTTCGGCCAGCACTGATTCATCTCCCCATATGGCGAGCAGATCCCGAACCTCCCGTTCTGTCCATGCTGGAGCTCTTTTGCGATCCTGGGACTCCATCACGGTTACCTGTGCTGATGAGCTCTGCGGGGTCACCTGTGCTCTCCACGCTCAGCAAACAGGAAATGAAATTCAAACGTTCGCGGGGCTTTTCCTGTCTACCTGGCCAGTGCATCTGAGTAGAGAGTGCTGTCCAGAGCGGTCACAATGAAGCACTGTGGGATAGCTCCCCGAGGCCAATAACATCAAATTCCATCCACACTAACCCAATTCCGACCCCCTAAGGCCGATTTTATCGCTAATCCCCTCGTCGGAGGTGGAGTAAAGAAACCGGTTTAAAGGGCCCTTTAAGTCGAAAGAAAGGGCTTCGTCGTGTGAACGTGTCCAGGCTTAATTCGATTTAACGTGGCTAAAGTCGACCTAAACTCGTAGTGTAGATCAGGCCTTAGAGTCTTTCTTTTCCTTCTCACTCAGGGTGCTAGCTGGGGTATTGCTTTTCAGATCACAAAGCTTGTGCTACAATAAATGGGGTTATAAACTGCAAACCTTAATTCCACTTACGTGCTGATTTGCTTTCCATGTCTGGGTCAGTACAGCACAGAAACCCTCCTCCCCCCCCCCCCCCCCCCATGGATTTTGATTCCTGGAGGGAGATTTGTATAATTTAAGGAGATAAGATAGTCACATTTTTTCCTTCACTTGTGGGGGGGAGGGTGGGGAACAAACCACTGATCTCCAAGAGAGAATGTAGAGGGCTTTAGCATGCTACAGATTGATTGATGGTCAATCCTGCATGCCTTTCCCAGGCAGGAGGGGAAGACCCAGAGATTGTTCTGTATTGATCCAGTCACAGGAGGTGAAAATATCAGGTAAGTGAAATTGAATTAATATATTCTTGTAATATTTTGTTTACTGTTTGTAATATCAAACAGATAATCTGCATCCAAATAGTAATATAAGAAATGTTTCATAGTGAATATAGATCTTAATATGAACTTCATAAAACTACTTATGATATTGTTGGATGGTGTCCAGTGTTCAGGTAACACTGTCAACATGAAACGTAGTAAATTTGAAAAAACATGAATAGTAGTTTTAGGTACTATACATGTTCCTGAGTTCCCGTATTGATCTTTGTGCTTTTAAAATCCTATTTTTATTTTTAAAACTCTTTATCTCTCCTCTGGTGCCACATAAAAGATTAACACAAAGAACACAGGGAACTAATTGACTATATAAGGAAAACAGTAAACCTGACTGTATTAGTTGTAAACCTGAAAAAACAAACATTTTTCTCCATATTCCTTCAGTTATAGTAATCTTAAATACTTTTTCTTCTAACATTTTCAGACAAGTGTGACTTTTATTTAGGTTGATAGTAATCCTCCAGGAATTCAAAACACACGGAAATGTGCAACTCATTAAATTTTCAATATGAATGTATAAATGATGCTTTTATCTTTTTACATGTGACGTTATCATATTTAGCTTTGTTTTTCTACTTCAGCTTTATGGCAAAATGAAAAATGGATATAAATAATGTATTACAGCATTTTCATCCTTGGCTAAAAGAAGCAAAGAGGATTCTAGAATGGGGATTCGAAGGACTCTGAGATTTGAGATAAGGGATTTGGACAGAGGATATTTGATATATATCATAGGTCAGGACCTTGGGATAATAAGGTGTTTGATTTTTTTGTTTGTTTTAATGTGGGAGGCTTGAGGGTTACAGGTTCAAAGTGTACATAGAAATGTCTAATTGATAAGCAAATTTCAGATACCCACACCTCTGTGCACGTGCACATTTATTCTGCTGTGGGTTCGTTTAGGGTGATTGTTGCCATAAAGAAATGGATAGACTTCCCAATCTCTTAGTTTTTCTAAGATGAAACAACCAGGGTTTTTTTTTTTTTTTTGAAAATGGGATCTTAGAACATGAACATTTTTTGAAGTATTTTACCTTCTCTGCTGTTATGTGATGGAGACATAGTAATGGTCAGATCAGTACGTTGTAATGCAAAGCTGAAGGGATTTTAAAAAGTTTCTGCCTAATCCGATATTGAGTCATGGTATTTGGAGAGCTCTTTATTTGAATGATTCATATTCTATTATTTTGGAGTTTACAGCTAGCCAGGGTGCTATAAAATGCATTTGTTTTATTTTGTTCAGTAAAATACAATTGATTTCTTGTTAAATCAACCATCTGAGCTTCTTGGCTTTTAAATGTGCTGTAGCTAGTTCTTGATAACTTACATTAGAGGAGAGGGGGGCCTGTTTTCGTGCATCTCTAACGTTTTGATTTTGGTGAATAAATTTTTTGTTTTGTTTGTCAGCTCTGATGAAGTTATACTGATTTCTGTGGAAAGCAGAAATTCAACAACAGTAACAACTGCAAACAATTCAGGTATCCAAAACTAACCTTGGCATGTATACATCCTAATCAAAACAGATTTGATTAATATAATTAAACTACCATAGTAGCCTACAAGTAATGCTTTTACTCTTTTTAATTATATCAAAATATAATTTTCCTTGGTTGCTGTTTAAGAAGAGTAAGAGCAACCCATCAGTTATGATTAAAACTTCCATTTGCTTTACCTGTCTCACTAACCATGCTTGAAAATTTTTCTCACTAACAATTAGCGCTTTTTGAGAGCACTATCCAGTCGAAAAAGAGTTTAACATCTGTGCTGGCCCACTGTCTGTGAGCCTTCCTAAATACGTAGTGTAGAGGCTTCTCCCTAGTCTTACAGAGGTGTCTTTGGACTTCAGGGGCCCCTCTAGAAGAAATCTTGGCTGTCTGACTTGATTGCCAGACCATTGCATTGGGGCAGAGAGGGTAATATTGGCCATTCTCAGTGAGTCCCCGTGTCATTCACTTACGGCTGATTGCCGCATGTATGCCTACAAGTCTATTTGGTAATTTTCTGGCATTCCACTTATTAGATGGATATTTTTGTATCCTGCATCAACCAGGTTTATTAATTGAAATTTGAATTTTTTAATCTTTTGTGAAAATTGTTTCAGATATTCAAAAAAAATTAGTTTCTACACAAGCAGAAATTTCCACTAAAGCTCAATCCAAAAACAAGGTAGGTTAAGAGTTTTTCTCATGCTCATCTGCTAAAACTTAAAGTTAAATTTAATTGTTTGTACATAAGATAATGAAACAAAGCTTGTTTGTTTGTTTGTTTGTTTGTTTCCAAATGTGGTGGTGGTGATGCTTGTTACTTCAGGTCATTTACCATTCTGTGCAGATACAGCACATTCTGGTTCCTCTTTGGCACCTTGCAGAAGGAGGGACTGTTGTGCACATTGCTGTTACCTCATTTTCACATCTTAAAGGTGAACTGAAATGAAAACAATATTGGGTTTGTGCTGCCTTCTACTTCTCTGTAGTTCTTGTCTACCCCGGAAGACTTTAATGCCTGGAGAACTGGTGAAATGATGAGATCACAAGAGACAGAACAGTTCAGCATATGAACGGGAGAAGGAATTTTTTCTCTCTGTTCCAAAACTTTTTGTTTTTTTGTAAACACCTATTCAACCTCAGTGAATAATAGTTTGAGTAAAGGATAACTTTTTAAAAATTCAGCACCGCCATCCCTCAAGTAAGAGCTCACCATAAGCATACTTTGAGATCTCTAAGCAAAATCAGGGAAGACGAGGCTTGACATTACTCATATTTCTAATGTGGAAAAAATAAGCAGAACTTTTTAGGCCATCTTCATACATCAGAAGGAAACAAAATAAAGTGCAATTCCAATTAAAATAATTATGTACAAGTCACCTTTTAAAAGCAGAAAGTATTCCCTACACTTCAAAAGTTTTTTTTTCTTACTTAATTGGCCTCTCAGAGTTGGTAACTCCCACCTGTTCATGCTCTCTGTATGTGTGTATATATATCTCCTCAATATATGTTCCATTCTATATGCATCCGAAGAAGTGGGCTGTAGCCCACGAAAGCTTATGCTCTAATAAATTTGTTAGTCTCTAAAGTGCCACAAGTACTCCTATTCCCTACATAAAACTGTAGCAATCACTTTTGGCATTCTTAAAAAAGATAACCCTTAACATCGACTGGATTATAGAACACACAGAAAATATGTCCCTCATCTCTTTGCTTTCTTCTAAGGACTCTGCATTCACCCACACACACACACACACTCCCAAAACTCATCAGATGGAATATCTACTCTTGAAATTCCTAGGAGATTTGCTGTACAAGCGGGCTAAGGAAGGAAAAGATCGGGGAAGCAGACCCTCCTCTCTTCCTGTGTACTTGGCAGAATTAGATGCTGTTTATAATTTTGACAGATAATGATGTTTATTTTTAAAGCTTTTTTTTTTTATGGAGGGGATTTTACAATTTAATAATAGTAGACACTGATATTCAAAAAGTTAAAGCTTTACCACTATTAAAACACAAATTGTCAACATCACATGTCAACATATACAAAGTAAATATCTTTAAATCAAACTGTACTACGTTTTCAAGCAGCATTTTTGTTTTCCTGTCTATAAATTTTGATCATCATCAATGGAAATATTTTTTCATCTTTTTGTGTGTACACGATGAAATTGACATTTACCAATAAAAATCTAATCCTTCCAAGCCTATGTGTAACAAGTATTAAATATTTTCATGTTTTGTTCCCTTTTGATAAGCAAGGTGAAGTTCAATCTCATACACTTTGTCAGGAGGCTGTGTTCCTATGGGACTGGTGACCCAACAAAAGGCCCTCATCTTGCAGACAAAATTTGGGCTAGGAAACCATATAGTTTTGCCAATATAAGGTCAACAAGAGTGGTCCCTAAAGTCTAAAGCAGACTTGTGGACTTATTCTTCAAAAACTTTAACATAAGGACTTTAACTCTTACATTACTGATATATAGTCTCAACCTTAACTTCACCTTAGCCATTTTTTCCTGGAATTTTTTCCTACACTAGTATGGTTGAATCATGTCATTTGTGGTACGCATTAATCGGTCAGTGTAGATTCTGCTGTTGCACACTAAAGCTTTCCTAATGCTCTTTAACATAGTGCCATTTGAAACACGTTAAAGCACACTAGGGAACCTTTAGTGTGCACCAGCAGGTCTATGTGGACCAATTAATGATCAGTACATTAGTGCACTTTAGAAATCAGATCTCCTTAGAGTGCATTTCCCCACTGTGTAGAGAAGTACTTTAGGTTGGGTTCATCACTGAAGATTTTCATTTAACATTGATTTTTCAAAATGTAGATTAAACGTTACACCCAGTCTTTCACATAACATAGTTTGAAAATGCTATTCAAAACCACATTTCTTATTTAGTTCAAATCAGAGAATATTTTTATATAAGCCAATTTGTAAATATGTTATTTAAGCAGGCTAAGCTTGTGGTTAGACTTTAGCAACAAAACATGTTCAAATTATATCCTTTTTTTTTTTGATGGTTTGTGTCCAGATTGTTCTAAATCACTTTAATGGTCAGTTTACACACAAAGCTTCCTGACTTTCTCTTCTCCCCCCCCTCCAAAAAAAATAAAAAATAAAATAAAAATCCTTGCTTTGGTTAATGAAAAATGGGACTTCACTGGTGGTATCAAAAGTGCAAACACTGGTATATATGGGGCACCTGGCATTTATTTTTACTACCATGTAGTATAAGCCTGCTCGGGAATATTTAGACAAGATGGTGGTGGAAAAACTGCTCTCTTCCCACTACACTTCTGCTACCAATGGTGGAACTGCACCAGTGGGAACAACTGCGGGAATTAGTGGGGGGAAGGGAAGATAGTGTATATAAGACCTAATTGTTTAAAATCTGTATAAAACCACTATACAAACACTTGTTTAGTTACATTAAATGATTCCTTAAGTTTACAATTGAATTACTGTATTTAATAAAATAATAAACAATTCTACATCTTCCCTTAGCAAGAGGGGGAAAAAGGCTTTATTTCAGACAACCCTAGAAATAAGAAGTTTACTGGCAGTCTTGTGCATTGGCAAGCTATCTGAAAACTTATCCTAAAACATATCTACTTAGAAGGAAACTAGTGTAAAACTGTCTATGTAGATTTGCTCTTAGAGAGCCAAGACCGGTATAATTACCATTGAGATGCATTAATGTTTATAAAATCCATCTTTTATAGTTTGTCCTCGTACTGTTGATTGATTGGCTAGGTGATCTACTGTGATCTATCAAGTATATTTTTAATGTCTGAGTTCTTACAGATACTGACGCTTATACACTGTACTTATTTCTGTTGTTTTTCACATCTACAAGAAGTTTTATATAAAAATGAGCATTTCTGGTAGTTTAATTTTCAAGTAAGTTTGCATCCTGACAGTTCATAAATTTTAACAGAAGTATTTATACACCTATTTATAATTAAGCCATTGTAGAAACAATTTAATTGGAATTGACATTGTTTTTACAGTGTACTGAAGAAAAAACAAAATCTGCAGTGATTGATCTAACAGAAGAAGAAAAGCACAATTTTGATAAAGGTAAAAGAAAAAATAATTTTGTTTATAGAGATACTGAAAATGAGAACTTAAAATGTAATAGGTGTAAGTATGAATGATTTGATTTAGTATGAATGATAGTAATTTATTTTAAATCTAAGAGAAAATAATCTTGTGGAGTTGTGAGATTGGGACCCATTCCTTAAAAGAAAAAACTTTCTCCTGAAGCGAACTGCTTCTGCATATCTCCACTGTAGTAGAGTACCTTGCAATCCAAGAACAGTTCTAAAGTAGTTTGTTTTTTTTAAGGGATGTATGCTTATTGACTCATGGATCCAGTGTCACAGCTGTAATGATATAAGACCCTGTTACTGCAACTGTTCCTAGTCCCTCTCTTCAATGATGCAAGCAGATGTCAGTCATTAAGTGGTGTTTCACTAAGATTGAAGGCTGCATCAGACCAATCTCTTCCCACCTGCCTAACAACTGAAATAGGAGCCAGGAACCCAGAGCCAGTTAGTCACAATACAGCCTGATTTGCCTTTTTAAATATTCCCAATAATGAGGAGAGACTCCTATTCCTCATCCATCTGTGGGTGAAGACTTGCTCCCCACCACAGAATGAGCTGGCTACTTGCCTACCACTGCTCCTGCAATGAGAAGACCCCAATTAGGTGCAGAGTGTTTTATGTTTAGGTAAGGAGGAAGTGTAGTAACAAAGGATAAGGGAGACATAATATGGACTTTCATGGGTCATATGTTTAGAGAACTCTAGTTGCTGGTAAATAACATTCTTTTTGCTATAAATCATTTATAATTGTCCAGCTTCAGGATTTGAACTCAAGTAGTTTGGTTTCAGTAAAAGTTGTTACTTGGCGATATACTGCCTTGGAGTGATTTGTAATCTCATAAATTTTTGTAAACTAAGCAGTATTTGTTCTAGGTCAAGACCTGGATGGGAGAACTCAGGGTGCTGCAGGAAATAGTATTAGTGGCTGGCTTGGTAGGTTACCTTCTTCCATCTCTGTGTACAAAACTAATGCTCTATCCTAGTGTTAAAAAGCACTGTGCTGTTGTTGATGTTGTGTTTTGTATGAATTTTAAAACTGGATCAGAATCTTTGTAATAATTTAAGATCACATACCACTTTTTTTCAAATAGAATGGATGTTAGGCAGTATCCTGGAAAAAATTCCAGTTGGAACAAATAAGTTACTACTTCCTAAATTCTTCCTGCGGGTTTCTTTTTTGTTGTTCTTCTAAACTGCCATGTTAGTGTTCCTGTGCTGTTAAAAGGCTCTTGCATCCCACCAAGATAATGTTGCATTTTAGTGGTGGGTATTTGTGTAGTAGTTTGTAAAATATGTGAAACTCAGAGATCATTTTTGGAATGGATGAAGGTGTTGTATTTAATGTAAGATCTTAGTTAGAGATGTTCAGCTAAAACTCTGTTAACTGAGTTGGTGGTCTGCATCTAGTGTGAATAGGAAGTAAGAGCATAAGAGTGGCTATACTGGGTCAGAGCAATGGTCCATCTAGCCCACTCTCTTGTCTTCCGACAGTGGCCAGTGCCAGATACTTCAGAGGAAATGAACAGAACAGGTCAATTTATCAAGTGATCCGTCCCTGTCGTCCACTCCCAATTTCTAGCAATCAGAGGTTAAGGGATACCCAGAGCATGGGGTTGTATCCATGACCATCTTGGCTAACAGCCATTGATACACCTATCCTCCATTAACTTATCTAATTCTGTTTTGATCAAGATGAAAATATCAAGCTGGACAATTAAATGAAATGAAGACTGAACTATCCCCCTTACTCTCACTTAATGATAGCCCGTACATGTCCAGCTGAAGCACTTTAACAGTGTGAAAAAGTTTACACTCTGCTGCTTGTGTGTTTTGTAGATAAATGGAGATTTCATTCTCCAGGGTCCTCAGTCTAGAACAGGGGTCGGCAACCTTTCAGAAGTGGTGTGCTGAGTCTTCATTTATTCACTCTAATTTAAGGTTTTGGGTGCCAATAATACATTTTTAACATTTTTAGAAGGTCTGTTTCTATAAGTCTATAATATATAACTAAACTATTGTTGTATGTAAAGTAAATAAGGTTTTTAAAATGTTTAAGAAGCTTAATTTAAAATTAAATTAAAATGCAGAGCCCCCCCGGACCGGTGACCAGGACCAGGGCAGCGTGAGTGCCACTGAAAATCCGCTCACGTGCCGCCTTTGGTACGCATGCCATAGGTTGCCTACCCCTGGTCTAGAACCTTGCACAATCCTGAGAAATCCTCAGTATGTAAACATAAACCACAAATCTGTGAAATAAGGTTTTTAACCCAGTTCACTTCCAATAGTTGGAAAATTACAGTATTTAAAACTTGCATTTTGTTTACAGGTAAGTTAAAAGAAGACCAAAATTCTGTGTCAAACAAAAGTAATTCAAAGAAAGCAAGCCCCAAATCAAATCGCTTTGCGCCACCAGCACAAGCATCACATCAGGTAATTTTTTTTTTCTTAAGCTTTTTACAATTTTTATTTTTAAATTTGGAGTGTTTACAAATTCCAACTGACTGGCTCTTCATGAATCTGATATACAACTTAATGGGAATTAAAACAGACTTTTAAAAGACATTTTCGGTGAAAGACATTATCATTACATTTGTTTTAAACTAGATTCCTTGGCAAAGGTAAGTTTACTCCTTTGAGCCACAAGGAGGTAATATTGTATTATGAAAAGAGTAGTAAAGTCTTCAGTGACCGTGAAATACTTTTACTGCAATAATGGCTCCTAAAATGGTGGGGATTCTAACAAAAATCTAACTATAAGAAGCAGTATTGAAGCAAGAACATCTATCAGCTAGGCATTGCTACATGCTAAAATGAATTTTTCTAAAAATTATTGTAGAAGATGTTGCAGTGGAAAATCTATCGTGGGGCAAAGACCAGCAAGGAAAATTTCAGTCAGGCGGGGGGGAACCATTCTGAAATTGAATGAGTGAAAAGGGGGTTGAAAATTTCACCCATCGGGGGTCCAAGACTTTCTGTATTTAGTCCTGCTCCAGTGTCTAAAAATGAGTGCTAGAATGAGGGAGCAGTAATTTAAAGGTCAAGTGTCTAAATGTGCATGTTTTATTACTGTTCCACTCATGTGAGTTGCCAGAATGAAGCACTGTTCACAATCGATTGTGCAAATGTTCAAAACATGATCATGTGTGGTCTCCGGGGTCCATGAGTTTGTCTCATATATGGGGTATTTGAATATTCCATTGGGTTCTACTAAGCTGCTTTGGCTTGGCTTAGCCGTGGTGGGGCTCAGGTGCCCTGCTGGGTTCTGTGATGCTTCTTGTGCTCGGCTCCTCTTTGATTGGGGACCAAAAAACAAATCATAACTTTTATAATGACCCCTCCCATGGCTTATTTTGCATAAAATACATCGTAATCCTATCATAATATCACTATGAAGAATATGGAGTGCAGTATCACAGTCGTCACATCTAGTATTGTATATGCTGACACAGCTTTGCTCCCTTGAATTTTTCTGAAATGATGTCCCTGCTTTTGAGAAAGTGACTTGTATGACTTGCAGAGCTTTCCGTTGGGTTAGGGCTGGGAGTCATGGGAGAGTGGTATCTGTAGAAGGTGCCAGCACATGGTGAAGGGGAGACTCCAATCATTTTTCTGTCTTTTTCACCTCAAAGAGATTGGCCAGAATCCTTCTAAGGAAGCACTGTGGGGAAGAAAAAGGGGTAATGTGATTCTTGGAAGAGCTTGATGGTAGTAGGGAAGGGATTGACTAATGCCAGGGACATCCGGGTGTGAGAAAAATCTGTTTCTATCCACCCAAGAAATTTTTGCACGTCTTGTGCTAAAAGCATAAAACCAAACGTGGTAACAGGATTTTATGATCTATCTTGTGACCTGTCAGGACTATAAATCTTTAGTGGAACAGTACAGATGCTTCCAGGAGCAGTGAATTGTTCTCAGCCTAAAATATTTTGTTAATAGATGTACAGAACTGTCTACAGTATATCCTCAGGGGTAATTGACTATCAAAAAGAAAAATGTACAGGGAGAAAAGGCAGTTCTATGGTTTGGGATTTTTTTAACTGACTATAGTACTATGAGGAGGGTGGAACCACTATGTCAGTCCTGCTTTTTATTATTCTGTTCTTCTGGATGTTCAAAAGGCTATGAAACCAGAATGAATCTTCTAAAATAGCTATGACAGACTCTCTTCACAGCTGCCTTCTTGGATTTCTTCTGAGATCGAATCTAAGCAGCAGTTTTTAAAGATCGGTCAGTTTAACTTTTCTTTCTTTTTGAAGACCTACATAGAGTGCAAGCTTTCTGCTCTGGTAATTGCCAGTGAGATAGGAACATAATCTCTTTCTTTCAGCGTCTTACATTGTATGATATCTGTATAGAACAATCTGATTGCAGGATGGCTGTCAAAATTCCCTAATAATAATTAAACTTGATCAAGATACCTATAGTATTATTCATATTGGTGAAGTTTACTTTTTTAAAACCTTTCCGTCCTATGGATGTGCTGCTGTCTGGCTGAATCTCTAGGTATTTTTTGGAAATTTTATCAGAGTGCAATAACAGAACACTGATAGATTTGCATAGTCACAATTCAATTAGATATAATGTTGACCTCTACAGCACTCATTTTGGGACAACCAAAAATAATCTTAATACAATGTTTGTTAGTGGTGTCTTCTGCTTTTTGCGGGGGGCGGGGGGAGAGTATTGGATTTATGGAAAATAAAATCAGTTAGCAAAACGTAAACGTTTATGTAGCAGCGATAGATCATTTCCTGTGACTGTTCTTGTCTGTTGACCTCTTAGACACTGTAAAATAGGGCTAGTTTAGAGGGAGTCTTTGGAAGGATTTTTTTTAAAAGTGGTAAAGTAACATAAATTCAGTAAATAAAGCATTGCAGCATGACATACCAGAAAACAAAACAATTTAACAAAATACTATTGTTTGTTTTGAATTTAGTATTCTTATCCATAGAGTCATTCTAAGAACCACTGAACTAATAAATACCTAAAATGAGACTAATGCAGCATTATTTACCACAGTACAAAAACCTTGTTTGGTAAAGCTGATACAATGAGCTCCTTAACACTTTTGAAACTGTTTCCTAAAATGGGAACACTTAATCTGAATCAAAAGTTAGCACACTCTGGTTGATTTGTTCATATTAAAGAAATATTACAGTAATGCTAAGTTATTCACCTTTTTTTTAATGCTCCCTAGGTTCTTGAACAGTTTCCACATCTTCCTCCGCTACCAAGGATACCTCCATACCCAGAACTCAAGGATGGATTCAGAGACACTGTGCCACCTCAGAAGCCTGAACTAAAACTGGCTCAGGTGCAAAATCCAAAAGGTATTGCACTCTCATGGACTGTTACAGAGATTGATCCCAAGTGCGCTCCTGTAGAGAGCTATCACTTGTTCATATACCATGAACACTCCAATAACAGTACTGCACCACACTGGAAGAAAATAGGAGAAATAAAGGCTTTGCCCCTACCAATGGCTTGTTCTTTATCACAATTTACAGCCTCCAAGAAGTACTACTTTACTATACAATCAAAAGATGTATGTGGACGTTATGGACCGTTTTGTGATATACAATCAATTACTTTAATTTCTCTGGAAAACTCATAAGCTACCTCAATAACTGTTACACGGTTGTTTCAGTTTGAAATATTGTATTTTTACTTGTAAACAATCCAGAGCCAAGGAATTAATTGTACCACAGACTGTATTCACTCAGTTCTGTTTCTTATCTATCATGCCAACTATCAGTTATTTATATTCTGAGCATTGTTCTATACATTTTGTAAGTTGTTTCTAATAACTTGACACTGAGAATTCTGTTTATACAACTAATTTCAGTTCTGTGTTTAATTTAGTTATTTTCCTTCTCAATCCTTCCCCTCCCATTCCTTTCATGTAGGATGTACTTGGGACATAAAGGAATAAAAGTTTCTACTTGGTAACTATGAATTGTGATGACGATCATGAGATTAGAAATCTAACCTGTCATGAGTTTTTTGTGGTGTTTTGCTCACCCTTTTTGTATTTTTGGGGAAGATAGTGGGGTTTTTGTGTTCCATTTCCTTCACTAAATGGTGCACAAGCTTTGGGAAGGTTTTAGTTCTTGTACTTGTGTACTCATACAGTACTACAGGAGCATCTCCATTATTCTGAAGCCTCTGAAAAATGCTTGTAAGGATGAAAGTCTCTGTAGTGGGGATGATGATAATACAGGAACTATAGTGTTTAAATACTACCATCACCTGAGACAATCAGCTGGACCATTATCTTTTTAGAGATGCTGCATTGTAAAGGAACACCAAGTGAGATTGTTTCATTGTCACCCATTTTGGGCAAGAATTAAGTTTCTGGGGAAGTTGATTAAAGTGTTTATAAATAAATGTTTTCCAGTGCTGTATAAGTACTTCACCTGCTTGTATCTTCTGGTATTAAAGAGGCTTCACTTGCCTTTAGGTGTGGTACTATGGTAGTTATTACTCGTCCAGACAGACATTTGAGAATGCCACAAAGAGGTAGGTGACCCATTACTTAGGTTAGTGATGGTTCTAGAATATTAGTTTACAAAATTATTAATTACAAGGGCAGTGTGGTGGCAGTTGGCTTTCTGTTTATGTAAATATTCATATTGAAATGAATTCAGTGATATTTGTAGTGTGTCCATTACAGCAAGTATATAAAGAAATTAGTCAATACCTGGATTAATTTAAATTTAATAATAAACTACAAGCAACGTACATTTTTCTTGTACAGTTTAAATCATGTTATGTAGGTTACTCACAATATTTAAAAACCCCAATAAGTTTCATTCTTTCAGTATTAAAAGTTTCCATATATACCTACAGGTATTTTAAAAGATGGCAAAATTCTAACAAAGCAACTTGAAAGATCATTTTGTTGCAATAACTTGCTGTTCTTTGAATGGCCTCTACATATTCCCACTCTTGGGTTGTGCCCTTGGTGCATCTTGAGTGGTGGAATGTTTTCTAGCAGTGCCTGTTGGAGTGCTCTCCTGCCTTTTCCCTCACTGTTTTTGAGCATTCTGAGGATGAGTCTATATAAAAGCATCACTCAGGAAACTTCAGCTCATTCCAGCCAGGATTGTGGATGGACTAGATTAGAACCTCTCCAGAACCACCTCTTCAAGCAAGACAGCATCATTAGCTAGTTTTAGTCCTAGTTAGCTAGCTAGGATTAATTGTATTGTTTTGTTCAAAGTTTTTATTTATTTACATTTCTTAGGATCCTATAGCTTCTCCACCCCAACGCCAACTAACAGTAGGAGCAGTAGCACAAACTCACTGCTTGTTCAGCCTCTAGTAACTGATTCAGAAGGTACTTGGACTACGGTATCTCCAGAAGGGAAAGATATAGGTGATAAAAGAAAGACAGTAGCTTCTCCTGTGGGGGATGTGGAGTGGAGAGAGAGAAAAGATTGTATAGCATATTCAAATTTCTCCAGTTTCCCTGTCCTAAATCTCTATGGACTCACAAGGGAAGTTTACTTCCCCCTTTTCAGTTTTAAGGTTGCCAAGACCTTTCACCACTATCTGCTGCTTCTGATCTGAGGTCTGATTAGTCAGATAGGGACAGGCAAGTTATTCTACCACCTCAGTTCCAGTCACCTGACAAAAAACTGTTTTAGAGCAGACATTAGACCAATGTTCCACATAGTCCAAACAGACACAGACTATGCCTATATCATGGTAGGTTCTATGACAGAGAACCTGATTTTGGTGTCTTGCAGTTTCCTCCTTGGTCTGGATGGGTCTACTATTTCTTTGAGATACTATATGGAAGTTGAGAATAGCCTTTATAGAGGAGTCATTCTCCCCAAGACCTCAGGGGAAGCCCCATTCACCAGATCCAGTGCTCTAGAATGCTGTCCTTTGATTGTCCCAGACATTTTATCAGAATAACCATCTATGGGATGTGGAATTTCAGGACATTGATCTAAAGCCTGGTGACCAGACATCACCAGATGACAGTGGAATTGCTGCAACATCTTCCCTGTCTGAATATGCCATAAAATTTCATGAGATGGTACAAGCACTCCTGTTATTTTTACTTAAATTAAAAGATTACTTCCACAGAAACTGATGTTATTGCTCATTCTGACTTTGATATTCTGGGAACCTCTTCTAATTCCAAGATCATTCTACCAGCATTAAAAGGACTTTTACAACCCGCCAGAACAATGTGGTCAAATCCAGCAATGAATTTGGCAGTGCATTGGAGGTGTCAGACTATTTAGATTTATCCCTATTTGTATGATTGGCTCACAAAGGCCTTACAGAAGTCCTCATATATGTTTAGTTTTTGAGAAAGTGGAACTCAGAATAAATTGAAAGAAATCTTACCTTCTTATATAGAAAGTCTTTTATCTGGGTGATTTTTAGATTCTCAAGCAAGAAAGGCTTTCCTTCCAGAGGCAAGTCTGCCATTCTCAAACATCAAGATAATTCCAACCAACAGTAATATTCTTCCTCAGTGATAGGCATTATGGTTTCAGTAATATATTCTTCCATATGCTTCTCTCAGAATGAGAACACTATAACTTTGGTTGGTAATAAATTACCTGTCAAGTTCAGACAACACGTACATGAAAGCTAATTCTCCCAAAATTGGTGTTTCTATCTCTTCATAGCTGCAGCACATCCCAACAACCTAACAGCTCACAGTCATTTTCTTTTGAGTGATTGTTTGCATGTATTCCACTTCTAATGACTCAAAAGCAATGATTTTGTAGGTTGGAGATGGGTGCTCAATTTATTTGAATTTCTGCCAAACCAGACATTGGAGCCCAATACTGTGGCTAGGGAATAATACTGTGTAGAAGTGTGGCCAGATCACAGTGAAGCTGCCGTGCAGTTTTCAGAGATTGGTATACTTTCCCGGGAAGCTGCAGAAGTTGCTTGACTCCCTAGTGGAGTGGACTTTAAACTGCATGGGTGGATCTAATTTGCTAACTCATAGCAAGATTTAATACAAGTAAGCACCCATTAACACAGTATTTGGGTAGGCATTGCTTGATCCCTCATTCTGTCTTCAACACAAGAAGTAGCCTAGGGTTGCTCCTGAATGACTTCAGCCTGATCAGGTAAAATGATAGAGCTCTAGCTACACTGAGGGTGTTCTCTGCATCTGTTCAGTTTTCTGTTTTTATCTCGCAATACTTTGCTTGTCACCTCATACCTATATAGTAGTCTCTTATGAGAGACGTTGTCAAATACTTTTTGAAAGTCTACATTATCAGTAGTTTCTATTTTATATACTACATTGACACATTAAAAGAATTCTACCAGATTAGTGAGGCATGATTTTCCTTTGCAGAAACCTTACTGGTTAGACCCTACCTTACCATAATATTGTGTTCCTTTGAATTTTTTTTATCATCATTTTAACTAGTTGATTAGGTAAAGATGTAAGATTTATTGCTCTTCAATTCCCTGGAACACCCTCAGAGACCTTTTAAAATACAGGTACAACACTTACTACTTTACCACTCCTGTGGCATAGAAGTTCTTTTTAATGACATATCTTTGCTAACAATTTAGTCATTTCACAGATTAACTCCTTTACAACTCTTAGATACATATAATCTGGATCAGTTTTTTCCAGATCCTCCTTATTAACCAACAAAGAAGAGTTTTGGGTAGGTAAATCCCTATCATCATCCGTGGTGAAGACAGGCACAAAACAAAACAACCCATAACATTTAGCTTTGCAGCTAGGTCCTTAGCTTCCTTAATTTTAACCCCTGCAGACCCAGCAGATGCACTGATTCTTTTGCAGGCTCTTGGCTTCTGATATAGTTAAATAATTCCTTGTTTATTTTATAGTGTTAGCTGTTTACTCTTCAGAATCTATTTTATACCTCCCAACTTCCCTCTGAGATACCATATTGCCTGCTGTAACTTGTTCCTGTTTATTAGCTTCATTAGGATTTGATTTTCAAATGTTGAAAGATCTGTTTTTCTTGAATAACTTTTTCAATCTTGCCGTTAAGTTATATATTTCTTGTGTGGCTGTCTCTTTTTTGCTTAGTAGTATGCATGCCTTCTTAGATGTGGTGTGGTATGGATTTGACTTAAGAAAAGCATAAGATAGTCCAATAATTTTACTTTAGTACCTTTGACTAGCCCTCTCCATATTGAAATCTCCCTTTCTAAAGTTTAGAGTTACTGTATCAATTTCTGGAATCTTATTTCCCCTTAAGAAGTTGAACTTAACTACTGTATATTGTGGTCACTGTTACATAATTCTCAAAAGTGATTTTAACAGTAGCTATTCTGTGGTGTATAGACTGAGTTGAAGAAAGCCTCTTCTCTTGTGTATTTTAGAACTAGTTGTTTAGAGAAACAATTTAAATGATTCCTTCTTCAAACAAAACTTTGTCCTGTTGTGCCATTGGATCAGTTTGCACATGGGTATCCAAAGTTCCCCCAGCAATGTCACTGTTCTAGACTTGGCTGGTAGTTTGACCGCCGAGTACTGTGTGCTCATCCTTTTGAGTCCGAAACTATTAGTGTAACCCTCCTAATATATTTAAATTCTGACTGCAGAAGCTTTGTATCCATCCATATTCAGCCGCTTGGTGTTCTCCATTCAGTGCTTCTCAGTGGATTCAATTGAATCTTTTAAATAATGTGCTGTTCAGCCACCTCTTTTCTGTGTAGTTCATAGTCAAGTCCTAGCCTACGTGATGTGTCCTGTTTCAGTAATACTTATTATATGAAAGGCCTCTGCCATTGCCAGGCATTTTAATATTGCTTTTAAGCTTCTTGCATTTGTACATAGACTTCACTTTCACTTTTTAACAAATGCCTTGTTCATTTATCTCCTTATACTTCGCTGATGGCCCACACACTGCTTGTGATCTTTTCCTGGCCTGGCTTGTTTTGGGTCCTTCCTTTCACTGGATACAGAAATTTGTATTACCTACATCCTTGATCTAATTTCTGTCATCTTTCCCTTACCTTCTAGTTTAAACACTCAGCCAAAACCTTATTAAATGTATATGCTAGCAATATGGTTTTACTTTGCTGAAGGAGCAGGCTCCACTTTAATCAAAGGGTCACTCTTCATAGCCACACAGTGAGACCCTGAAGTTCCAGCTGCTTAGCTACCTCCAGTCACCTAGAGACAACTAAGGAAAAGCTTCCTTAGCTGGCTAAAGACTTCTTGCTACTTCTCCCATAGTGAACCACCAACTTGTTTTTATTTATAGTGTCTTAATGAGGATCTCACAGGGAAAGTAAAGAGCTATTAATTTTTACTTATTTGCACAGAAATACTCACACACAATGTTTAAATGGGTCCAGAACTTTAAGGCAATGTAAGGGCTATCAAATGTATCAAGCTTGCTGTTACAGTACAGTAGTTGTTTCTGCTTTATTTTCATGTACAATTTCAGAGTATATAAAACATAGAAAATGAAATATTTTCAAGGCCGAGTAAGTAAAAAATATCCTAAAAATATGGTTTTTCTGTCACAAGACATACTTCAAACGTTTCTTGGCATTTTCTTTGTGTACAAAAGATTCACACTTGGACTAACTAAAATATGGCAGGATCTATAGATGGCTGTATGTACTCTTCCAGCATATGCCATTTGCTTTAGGGTGTTAGGGCTTTCATTATGAAAGCATGATTGTGTATACATGTATGTACATATATGCATGCTGTATCTTACATATTTAAATATTCAAACTATAAAATGACCCAGGCAAAATGATTTACCGTAAATAACTGAAGTATCTGTCAAGTAGCCAGTTAGTGGCACAGTTAGTATTTATACTGTAATGTATGGACTGTTAGTCATAAGTCAGTTACATAGTTTTGGTCCAGGTATTTGCATTATAATTTCATTAGATCATTTTACTGTTCATTACATGAAATGTAAGCCAGGATATCAAATTCTTGGGGTGAAGTCGTCTTTAACCCTTTCCTTATAGTACATCTGTTTATATAGAGAACAAATTCTATTCTTTGTGTACCCAATTATTCCTTTAACAGAATGAATATTTGGGGACAAACATTTTACAAATTAAAGGAGTGTTAGTTGGTAACTTCACAAGTTAGGACACACTTAGAAGGGAAATAATGTAGATAAGAGACTAGCAGTGTCATGTTACAAGGGCAAAAATGCATAGTACTAAGACTGCTTTAAATCTTGTTTCCCTCTTACTCTACCTGTTCTCTAAGCCAGTAGTTTTTTCCTGCTCCCTGCAAGTAATACATAAACACCACCACTTTGGGAAATAGAGCAAGACCAATTCCCATGTTTGAGATAGTTCACTGAGTTGCATCCATTCCGACCTTGTGAGTAATCACACAAGTGTTCTCACTGAATCTGTGTAGGTCAATTATTTAACTGATCTATAGGGTGTAGCTCGGACTTCAGTAGAGCTATGCTATTTTGCATTAGCTGATCTGACTCAAGTGTAACTAGTTACAGGCCTATTCAAAACCTACTAGCTTTCCTTTTTCTAGGCCTAGGGTTTGTCCAACTACGGTAGGTATAAAAAGGCCATGATTAAGTATGCTAAACTATAAAATACTACTTTAAACCCTGAAGCTACAATAGACAAGTACAAACCACAACCTTTATCAAGGATGATTAACCAACCTTTAAATCACCATTAACCAAAATTGTATTTTACAGTAGAGAGCATTTAAGTCTAATAGCCTAGTACAGGTTTTTATCAGTTATTTCTATATAAAAAAATCCCTGTGTCATTTTGAAGAAGTTTAAGTAGACAGGGCTAAATGGCTTAGGAAGACCCCATCTGTGTGTGTTGAGCAGGTGTGTTTAGGTTCCTTTAAACATCGCCAACAGAAGTTAAATGCCACCTGAACGTCTATGCATGGTGTGAACCATTTAGAGGGCAGGATCAAACTCTTGTTAGTACCTAGTTTAGTGGCAGCCATTTAAAGTTGTGAAACATACAAAGGAAATCTAATTTGGCCTTGGCTTGTTCAGACTCTTGACCCCAGCTGGCAGAGTGTTCCAGTAAACTTGCATCATTTTTTCCATAGTCTTTCATACCAAGAACACAGTACATTTTTAGAGAAACAATACCTTTACTACAAAACCACAAATGATTATATACAAAATGGTTATTGGAATTCTGCTTCTGTACTGCAATGACAGAAATAACTAGCTGCTGACATTTATTTACGTTTCCTTAATACTAGGTACATGACACCACTGATCAGAGTAAAAGCAAATGCAATCCAGGCTAAGATGAAGGAATATCCATACTGGCCACTAGGAACATCAAACTCGTATCCATTACTCTTGTGCAGATCTTCATGCCTATTTGTGTAAATGGATGCTGCAGTCATAACACAGAGACCTGGAAGAGAAAGAAGGCATTAAAACAATGTCTTTATTACTCTTTAAAAGATTTAAAGCAGTTATACAGGCACACAGTGTGTAGTTCTTCAACCACTATTTGTCCCCTGCCCAGATGCTGCTTTTTACGATCACTCTTCATCCTCATAACTGTATTTAGAGTGATTCCTTTTCTTAAGCCAGGTTTAAATAGTCATGTTACTAAAGTGCTGTCAGTAGAGCTGGATGAAGCTTTTCCATCAAAACATTTTGGGCAGAAAATGGAGATTCTGCGATACTGAAATGTTGTGAATATTGACAGATTTTTTTAAACAAAGTCCAAAAAAATCAGAACATTTGAAATTTGTTAATTATTTAAAAGGTAGTGTTAAGCTAGAAATCTAACTAAAATGTTTGGCAAAAACACTGTTTCCTCCCCTCTCTTAACCTTTCAATTTGCTGAAAATTAAAAATAAATAAAATCAGATCAGTCCAAAAGGAAGTTCTCAACTTCTCAAAATTAAGAGTTCCCCCCCCCCCAAAAAAAAAAAAAAAAAAAAAAAAAACCTTATTTGTCTAACTCTGTCATGTACCATGGTGGTCTGAAGGGAAATAGGATGTTTCCAGGCATATGGGCAGTTCTAAATCTGTACTTGGTGAAAGTAAAAATGAATATTTGGCTGCAAAGTTTGGAAAGTTATTCAAGTATGTTCCTAAGTTAGTACATTTAAGAAGTTTATCTGGGTTTTCCTTCAAAATTCTAACATATACCTCAGAGCAAGGATAAAGTAGTCTGCTTTTTAAACGAACTATTTGGTTAGCGATACTAAGTTTTAGCCTGTGCGTGCGGCTAAACTGACTGGTTAGTTTTTAGAATTAGTCTTGTACTTGTTCTATTTGTACAAACTTACCAATTATGTACAACATTTTTCTGCTTTGTGTTGTACCATGGCTCCATTCCGAACCCTATTTCCCACTTTTAATGTAAGGGCTATTGAAGTGAGACATGTCAAAGAACTACTCACATGACAGCAGCTGGATAGTAGAAGTTAACACAAATCTTTCTCCTTGCTTTAGGCGGAAGAGTTGAAGAATGAAAACCAGAAATGCAACACAGCACAGAATAGTAGACAGGATCATGGTGGCCTGAATGGCCTGCACAGACTGATATTCTGTGAAAATAAAAGCAGGTTTTATTGTAAAGACAGCTTCCTCCCCAGCCGCTTCCCCTACTAGCACCAACCTGTTCCCAACTGTAGTCTGTTCTTAATGGGATTTGTTGGCTACCCTCCTTGCAGCTTTCCCCTTCTTGTTTAAGCCACTGCCTCTGTGCCACCTTCCTATTTCCACTCACCCTTCCTCTCTTACTGACTTTTCTAAAATATGTGCTGTAGGAATTACGTGGGGGACATTCTGATCCCAATGATCCCTTCTGGTCTTAGAATCTATTACTGCTCTCCCATTAAAGGCAGCTTTTTAAACAGCATCTGACAGCCCTGCAACCACAACGCACAAATGGAGCTTCCCCAGTCTGTCACACTACACCTTCCCAATTCCATCCCTTGCTTTCCCTTAGATGCTTCTGATCTATTGTACAGAGGTAAAGTGAGAGGATATAGCAATGCAAGAGTGAGCTACAGTATTCAGGAACATGGATTCCAGCAGTGCTGTCATTTAGAAAGCACCCGAGGTCAGGTGTTTCAGGATTCCTGTGCTAATGCTTCTCTGGTTGCCTTTTCTTAAATAAGGAAGAGTGGACAGTGCAATGCTAAGCAGATGGGCCACTGTAACACAGGCCAGTGTGAATGGATCACTATTCCGTTTTCTACACCGTGGCCCTATAATACAGGATCCAGTTTAAGGTGAAGGGGTATGTCTATGCTGCAATTGGAGGTGTGACTGCAGCAGATGTAGACATTCTTGAGCTAGATTTAATCTAACTAGCTCAGGTACCAACAGCAGTGAAGCTCTGGCAGCATGTGCTGCAGCACAGACTAGCCGCCCAAGTACAAGCCTGCCAGGGAGCCTGGGTATGTACTCAGGCAACTAGCTCACTGCTATTGATACTTGACCTAGTTAGATTAACCTCAGCTCACATACATCTACACATGCTGCAGTCACACCTCCAACTGCAGTGTAGACACCCTTTGTCTTGATACGTAAAGCCTTCAATAGAACTGACTTTAGTTATTAAAGACACTGTGTCTTGCTCCAAAATAATGTCCTCCTATACCAGCTGTGTTCCACCAGCACAGTGAAACTGTCAGCCACTGGGAGATGGGTCGTGAATGCAGAGCAGGGCATTGCAGCAGACCTAGAAGAGGTAAATGACCATGGACCTACCAGCTTTCAAAACTCAGTGCAAAACTCTACTTCCATTTATCTTTTCCTCAGTTTAGTCTCAATCCTGTAAGTCAATCCAGCTATTGCTCTGTAAACTGAAATGGAAAGTGTGTGGGGACTTTTGGTTTTGTTTTGTTGTGTTTAAATACTTGAGGTGCTTACTATAACCATACCCTGATGGAGGCCATAAATTACCTCAATAATCTTCATAACTCCTCACTAAATGGACTTGTAGATAGAAAATCATTGTATTGTCTAGCCATCCATGATTATACTGGTCAAATTGTTCACCTCTTGGATATAGACCAAGAATGAATGGGTGGGATAAGAGAAATAGTTACTACTGTTGTTTCATAACTGAAATACTTCTCTTATTCCCAGTGAAGTCACTCATGTTAAAATGGGATAATTGAGTCCATATTGTACATTGTGTTCCCTTAGTTAAGATTTTGGATTGTGTTCTGTTTTGTTAATCTTTAAATTAGATTCCTCAAAAGTATTTCTGCTAACTACCATTAATACTATTAGCAGGTTCTTCTAAATTAGAATTTGAAAACTGGAACTTATTTTTAGCATGTAATGCCCTTCATTGCAGTCACATGCAACCACAGTTTTTAACCCAGTTTAGTTTTAGTCTCACTGGTCTGCTATGGACTCTTGATGCCAGAAAATAGGGTGTGTATTTTATGTCAGACCTTTCAAACACACTCTAGTGCACTTTATGAACATTAATTCTCAGTTCCTTTGTAGGATGGAGAGGAAGCAAAAGCATCCACATTTTATAGATGGAGAAACTGAGGCAGGGAAATAAGTATTTGTCTTGAAACATTTTATAGTGTCTTTACAGGATATTCCTTAAAAGCAGCTTCTAGTTTGACAGCTTAATAGTAAGTACTGAAACTCACCTGAATTGTTTTCATTAATGGCTGTACAGTTGGTGATGTTGATACAGACATTCCAGACATCTGTAGAAAAGTCTTTTCCTACCCACCAGGCCTGTAAAACAATATAAAGGAAATGTATAAAAATTCAGACCAGGAAAGTTAGACAACCTCTTAAAATTGTCTTATAAAAAAAATGTTTGGCTTAAATATGTTAACTGTGTCCAAAAACTGTACTGTGCACTTGTTCACAGCTATACAAGTGGGCATCTGTGTACAATAGCAGCATCTTCAGCCACTTAAATTACTTGGAAGTGGCATATACCTGGTTTCAGCCTAGAGATACAGTCTAAAAGATACATTTATGTAGCACCAAGAAACTGATCACAAAAATCAGTTGCTACTCACTAGTATACAAATGAATAAAAACAGCTTCTGCAATTAATAAATATACATTTCCTGCATTAACTGGTTACACATTTTGAAATTAAAGTAAATAATCTTAAATTCCAATAGCGAAGTACAATTTAGTCTTCTGTGAAGAATAGGAAGGGAATGGGCAAGAAACTTAAATATCCAATTACTTTGTCCGATGTTGGAGGGACTTTCTGCTGCTCAGGCAAATGTTTCAGGTGATTTTTTTAGGACTGATTTAAAAAAAAAAAATCACAAGTTGTTCTAATTTAAAACTGCACTCATGCCATGTGCCTGCTTTTAAGTGAGGAACTTGCACATTACCGTATGGAGAAGCACCAGTTTTCTGCTAGTCAGAAGTCCCCTTGCCCTCAAGAAAAATAGAGATCAGATTCCTAGCTCCAGCTCTCAGAGTTCACATTTTCTAAATTTCAAATGTGTCCCCCGGAGGATCAGGAAGTTGGAATTTACATACATGTTTAAATTGCTTCTTTTTCTATAACCTCTCATGTATGTTTGCAAATTTTGTATTTCTCCGTATGGCTTAAAACCCAATCAACAGGTGAACAGCAGTGGAAACTCTTACTGTAAATATATCCAGTGACTGACACTGGGGTAGTAGGCACTATTGGAATACTATCAATCTATGCTCCATTGCTATGGTTGACAAATAATAGAGCTCAACGTGGGGAAAGGGGACATGAATCTTTCTACCCGTCTATGCCACAAGATGCTCACATGGTAGATCGCTGCAAGGCAATAGCGAAGCGTGGTGGATATATTGAGGTTAAGGTAGGTGAGTGCACACAGCACAAAACTACAGCCACCAGAACTATAAAACAGAAGCCAATGGCTGCATCTGCTACTCCTAGCCAGAAGTAGGAGATCACCAGCCAGAAATGACCATGTCTGTTCTTTTAATGAACAGAAGTGAAGCCTTCCCTTGTACATTCAGGTGGGGCCCTATGTTATGTGAGATACAAGATGCTCTTGTAATACATGCGAGCAAGGGAGTAAAACTACAGCCCTGGGAAGTTGGAACCTTGTGCATGAATTTCCTGACTGATTTAAAGTCAAACATCATGCAAAGTTGGTATTGGCTTATCTGTACTCTTGGTACAATGTCCAACTAGACATCAGACTGGAAATGATTAGTGACTCATTAAGATCCACTTGTGATATTACTATTGTTGGTGTACCGTCTGTTAGCACAAAATAGCACTGTAGTGACTGAATGCATCTTACATAGCAACACTACAAATACAGCCAAGCATATTTCCTGAGGAAATCCAGACCAGTTAAAATAGCTACCCAGGCTTTTATTCTGCTGGGCTTGGAAAAATATGCCATTTAAATATTACCTACAGTAGTGTCTGCTACTGAAATAGTTGTGAGATTGTTAGCCACTTAACGCTATAAATTGTTTGGAAAGCAGTTCTGGAATTAGTTACTTTACAAGGAGAATTCAGACTGGATAGTATCCTGAAATATTGGATATTAATTCAAGGAAGACACAGATAGTTTCATATGTGAAACTGTCTATCAGGTTTTTGACTAATCTGTACTCTTGGCCTTTGTTCAAGATGAACTAAACTGGCAGTTTAAGGATGGCACAAACAAGTGTTTTGGTTCAATATAGCATTTTGAACACCCATTTCTTATACAGTTTAATTTGTCATTATCATATTCAGCACTGTGCAAAACCAATTCAGGCAATGAGAAAAAAATATTGAGAAGGTTACAAACCTATACTTTTCATTTTTTTTTTAAACAATGTAACTAGATCAAGAATGCATGCTTCTGTATAGCTAGGGTTACTTAGGTTTCATTTGCTTGGACACTAGTGTATAATATTTGCACTGAAGTTAACATATTGCCTAACCTGTCTTTCAGTCAGTATTTCCCTAAAGTGTTTATAAAGGAGACAACTGATAGAACTTGAGTTCTTAAGATAGGGATGTAGGACTGGAAGGGACCTCCTGTGTCAGAGTCCAGTCCCTTGCTATCGCATGCAACCCCATCAAAGAAACAGTCAAAGTTTTACAAATGAAGTTTCTGCTAATGGGGGGGGGGGGGGGGAAAGGGGGAGGTTTTGGCTGAGCTAGTTAAAAACAGATGGTGATAGAAGCTGTGTTTTCAGTATCCTAAAAGCCTGTGTGTACATTTGCCTTAGCAAGAGTGTACCCTGATAAGTAACTGCAGTAGCAACAGTGGGACAAAGGGTGTTCAGCAAAGGAAAAGATCCAGGTGACGAGCAAGACATGTACAGATATTGCTAGAGCAAAATTCCTTTATGTAAGAGCAAAAGGCCAGTAATAGGAAAATTAACCTTTCCAAGCAACACCAAAGTATTTCTAAACTTTGTGGCTCAATTGACTCCAAGCAAGCACAGAAGCTGTAATGTATTTCAACTTCTAGTGTGTCTTCCATAGTACTGTTTTAGGCGCCTTGCATAAATGTATTAATAAGCCTCTTTCTGAAGGCTTATTAGGCTGACAGTCTCCCGCTACACAAATCATAAATTAACTGGTTTTGTGTATGTGACATTGGCAGGAGTGCAGTAGAATCTTCACTTCTCCCCAAACTCAGCAATACCCAAAGCCACAACTTCAGCCTCCAAGCTATAGTGTTAGTAGATTGCTACATGGGGTTCTTGGCCAGTAGATACATGTAATTGCACGCCCATGGGTCACATCCCCCTGCCCCGCTGCAGAATGCTGCTCTGTGAAACGTAGCGGCGTGGCATTGATTTGGATAGCCTCTTCCAGACACAGTCGCAGCAGGAGGTTTCAGGTCTTACGAGCAAGTACAAGAAGCCGACAATTTCCCCATTAATTAGATCAAGTGTACTAAATCCTAACACTGTCAAATGCTTTGGAGAACTCAAAAAACAAGTGTATGAAATAAACACAAAACTAAGAGAGAAGAGATTCAGTTGGGAAGTGAGGGATCTGATAAAAAAGGGCATTACTTCAGCAGAGAGGGGCATTGTTTAGGTTAAATATGCTAGTTGGTTAAATTTTCGGTTGGCCTGAGGAGCAACTGCTGGTTTAATTTTTGATCGGACTACTTTTAATATTCAGCAAGACTCTAGGACCAGGAAATGTTTTTCTTCACATTTTATATAAAGGTGCATTTATATTTCAATTATGATTGTGCCCAGATTACAAGCTGGGGAAGCTGCTTTTTCTGTGAATACACAGCTAGAAAATGCATAATCTGAAGCTCGAGTCAGTATAACATGGAGAAACGAATGGCTCTGAATTAGAATTTCTAGGTGGAATGAAACTTACATTGTCAATGGTTGAGATGAACAACAGCGCTGCTGAAGTTATGTGAAACACAATAATGAAAGCCAGAAGAATCAACATGGTTGCTCCGTGAAGGTTTAACGTGAGATAAAGCTGTTTAAAAACAAGGTATATATATATATAATTAGATTATGTAGTGATAAACTGAATAGCGGACATCTGACATCTTAAAACATGGATATGATCTCAATCGCTTGTGGAATAGGAAGGTGTGAGTATTAATTATTTTCAGAGTAAGGAAATACTGTACCTGCCAAAATGTTACTGTTCTGTATATTTTGAGCCAGGAAGTCAGAGCACTTCCTTTTATAAAGATTGAAGCCTCACTGGGAGCTTTGGTCAATTTTGGTATAGACTAGCATAATGCAACAATTTCACTGGATATACAGGATTAGTTAGAGAGTTCCTTATGTCCTTTCCTGTTGCAATGAGTTACAACTTAAAAAAATATATATATGAATGGGAGTGTTGCTTTTTGTAATATGTCAATTACAGACAGATGCATTGTCCTACCCTTGTTGAGTGACAAACAGTTCTACAGAATTTCCTAGCTGCACATACATTTCTTACGGTGAGCCTCTCTAGCAATGAAATGGGGCTTAGGATAGCTTGTCTTTACTTTTAAGAAAGTTAGTGTTTTAAAGACCAAGAGTGAGATCCTGGCCCTTCTGAAGACAATGGAGTCCTGGCAATAGGATTACAATAGGGTCAAGATTTCACCCTAAATCTTCAAGAAGGAAGAAATACTGGATTCAAAAGGATGCTGTTGCCAATCAAACTGGGAGAAGATTAAGCAGTTCAGGAATTATTTGCTAGGTTTATCAAGAACTATGGTATACTATATTATATTACACCATACAAAAGATCTTAGTTTTTGTTTGAGGAAAAACTGTTCTAGGCCTTTTGTCTATTGGAGGAAAAAGTAACACTCAGTCAGGAAAGTGTAGCTTTGCTCATACTCATTGTAGCCGGTTTACCATCAGTCACAATTCTTTTTCCAGTCCACCTTTATCTTATTGCCCAGTCAGCCCCCGCTTGATGTCAAGAGCAATCAGAAAGGGACCACTAAGAAAGAGGTATGGGTAGTCACCAAACACAGGGGGGAAAGTATTGTCTTTAACATATTTAAACTTGTGTTATTGCCTGCTATCGTTTACCTTTTTCCTCTTACTATTTAAGAATGCTTGCCAATGAGAGTGTATTTTACTTATGTCCAGTTGTGTATTTTTCTGTTTCAAACTCTTTATATTTCAGTATAAGGCCATTGTACATACCATTATGAGAGCACTGATATGCATGATTGAAATTAAGATGTTTATGTTAATGGATATTTCTCCATTTCCTTTACTATGGAGGGTTTTTTCAAATGACCAGATTCACATAACAGACTTAATTTAATGGTTAGTCTATTTTTACAAACTTACCACAACCAAGTTGTGTCTCAACCCCAGCCTTATCTGCTAGACTCATGAACTACATGTACACTCAGCAATGCAGACAGTGAGTTTATCTAAATAAAAGACTACTTTGACAGCATTTTTAAAGAGCAATGGATCTACTGGCATTCCCCTCTTCCAAAATACAACTACTCTACAAAAGTTTAACAAAAAGCTAACAGCATATAGACATACTGTATGAAAACTAGAAGTTCCAGACTAATGGGCTGAGTCTCCTATGGAGTATCATAAGATGTATGAACCCATTTAACAAAGCTTTTTTTTTTTTTTTTTTTTTTTTTTTTTTGAGAAAAGGAAGACTGATCTGATAGGTCTTTTTCATATATAATTGGCATAATCCTACTGGAATATTGCAAAGTTAAATCTGGATTTTAAGTTAAAGGAAACTACTTTACTGTGTATGCCTGTCTAATTACTCACGGTTAAACTTTGCCTTTTCCACATCTAGCCTTGAGTATGCTAATTTTCACCAACAAATCTATGCTATTATATAACTGAAGCCACTAGTCATGTTTGTTCCTATTAATATCATCCAGATTCTTCCTTGAATGAAGAGTATAAATCTTGTGGTTTTTTTTATAAAGGTAGTTTGAAACCATCCATACCACTAATCTCCACACTGAATGGAGAGCACACTCCCTCCCTAGCTTAAGATTTCATTTGCTAGACAAATTGTGCCCAAACAAGAACTTAATCAGGTATCAGCAGGTCAGTTGCCACACCAGGAGAGAAGCAAATTGTATTACAGTATGAAAAGCAGTATGATGCAATTTTTAGTTCAATTTATATCTCCTATCCTGCTGTACAAACTTACACAAACTAACCAGATTTGATCAAATCAAAATCAGCCTGGTAAAATCAAGTTTTACTAGCCTAGAAGAAAAAAAAATCTTTACCAAGTTAACAGTTTTGATTTACTGATTTTCAACTATAGATTTAAGTACTTTAGAAAGTTATACATAAACATCCTCCTTATTTCACAGAATGGGTCATGAGGAACTAGACATTGTGTATTAAGTCAGTATTGCCAACCTTAAGCTTTCAAAACACTCCAATCAGGTCCTCCCAAAAAAAAAAAAAAATCTTTGACAAAAAATGATTTTATGCTAATGAAATTTGGCTTGAAATCTCCTAATAACTTGAATCCAGGAGCCAGATCTTGAAGAAAAATCACCACATGTAGATTAGCAACCCACTACAATCTAAGCTCTTTTGTGCTCTATCCACTGGTCAACAGCTCCTTTATGATGCAAATAATGAAACTACTAATGATTTTAGTCACCTGTCAAATTATTCAGCCTGGCCACACAGATGTTTGCAAGACCCAGTGCTCAAAGAATCAGACATTTAAAAACCCTGCTGGTGAGGTACATTTAATTGATAGGAGAGTACAGCTGTCAAATTCAGCACCTGGGTGCACTAAGAATTTAGCAATGGCCAAGCAGGGAGACCTCTCCTCGTGGCAGCTGGAAGATAACATGAAAAAGCCAATATCTGTTGTCAACTATCCAATTAAACATAGAAGTCAATGAAAAATGCAGCTTCTTCAGCAGTGACAAGCTTAACCTATTTTATAAATTACATTTTTATGACATCAGAACTTCTACCTAAATTCAAGTAATTAACATAGACTCAAATCTTCCAATTTGCTGTTTGGAAGCCAGCCAAGAAAGTCTGAAATCAGAGCTGTACTAAAGAGCTTTCTCCAGAATTGAGCTGGTAAAGAGGCACCAGGAAGTCTCAGTTAATGAAGCTGTAGATCATACCTCCAAACTAATAAGGCCCAAACTTGGGATGGGATGCAATGCATAACAAAGACCTACAATGAGGGGAATTTATTTTCCCTCTTGCAGAATGCTTGAAGTCTTTAGTGCAATTCGCTTTCTAGATCTTCAGTTTTATGATTCTTAATTGCAGAAGTGATTGGTTAAGGATGTGCCAGGGTCAGCAATTTTGGGTGGAATACAAATAATTTCTGGACTAACATGCCCTTCATAATAGAGCATACTGAGGCATGATTGACTAAAGTAGGACGTTTGTGTTTCAATATAAGGCTGCCTGTCTTTTTAAGGTTTGAAAAAAACAACCCTTCCTCAACTGCCTCCTTTGGGAATCCCCCAGAATGCATTGCTGAAAACCAAGGAGACTGGCCCTTTAGGTTATTGGGGAAGAGAGGGAGATGCCTCAAGTGCTAGCCCAATACAGAAGCAGCAGTGGGAATAAACCTGCCATCCCATCATGTTTTAGCAGGGCAGAAACCCAGGAAGAGAATGAAGAGGTCTGTACGGCCCAGACATTACTAGCAACAGCTCGCTCCCCTTTGCCTCAAGGCTGAGAAGAGCAGAGGTATCCCAGCCCTCAAAGTAACAGAAGCAGTCAGGATGTATGTTCTACCTAAGTGCAATAGAACATGGCCACTGGCAGAAGCAGGTAGCTACTTTCCCTTCTGAGGCCAGCCTGCAGCACAGGGAACACCCCAAGCAGCAGGTCACTGCTCTCACACATCACTCGAGAGGCAGGAAGAAGACGTAGCTCCCTCTTCCTCTAGCCAACTGTCCTACCTTAACCGGAGACAAGGAGGGTGAGGTGATATCTTTTATTGACCCAACTTCTGTTGCTGTGACAGACAAGCTTTTGAGCTACACTGAGCTCTTCTTCAAAACTGCAAACAGCTAGTTTAGCCTGGACAATGTCTCATTCTAGGGCACTGGGATCGTGAGTGAAGTATTCTTCCCTCCCACTTCCTCTGCAGGTAGCCTCCCTCTCATAGCAGTGGGAGCTAGGGAAAAAGAAAGGATTGGACCTTCACCGAGAGGCAGTGGGGAAGAGAGGAAAACAGTGAGGGTCAGGAAGGGATAGGACCTATGGACAGGGAATAGAAGATGGGATTCACTAGGGGCCTTCTGGAGGGTTTGTGCCTTTTAAGCTAGCTTTCTCTGCTCAGCCCTTCCCTCTGCCCAGTGAAGTCCAACATGGTTCATACACAGCCCTAAGGTGGCCTGTCTTCAGATACTTTTCCTGGTGATGCACCTCAGCTCAAACAAATGCAGAGGAGCTCTCCCCACCGTTGAGGAAAAGATCCCCTTAGCTTTGTGCACTTCTCCTATCAGCACAGAGCAAAAGGAACAGCTCTTTCCATTTCTCTTCACTCAAAGGCAAGAGGCACAACACTCATCTCAAAAACATTCTCAGGGTATGTCTACACTGCAATGTAAGCCCAGAGTTAGCAGCATTCAAGTTAGCAGACCCTGGATTTGTTAACCTAGGGCTTGAGAGCTACACTAATTTGTAACCCCAGGTTAGGAATAGTTGAACTCAGGGTCCTAACCTGTGGCTCTAGGGTCCATATTGCTTTATATGGACCTAAGTCCAACCACCCATAGCCCAGACTTCCTAGCATCCTCCCAAAATGTGCTGCTCTAGCCTTTTATATGTGGGGCAGTGTGGGAAAACTTGACTGTCCATCAAACTTGATTGTCTAGAGGACAAAGAAAATTGGCTCATGGAATTGTGGAATACTTTTGGTAGATACCCAGAGCACAAGTCCCACAGGGCTGTGTCTACACTGTAAAGCAATAGAGCTTGAACTCTGGGTCCCAGCTTCACTCAGGCTTGGACCCTCCACCCCTGAGGGAT